GTCCGACCTGCGCTTCCAGAGCTCGGCCGTGATGGCGCTGCAGGAGGCGAGCGAGGCCTACCTGGTGGGGCTGTTCGAGGACACCAACCTCTGCGCCATCCACGCCAAGCGCGTCACCATCATGCCCAAGGACATCCAGCTGGCCCGCCGCATCCGCGGCGAGCGCGCCTAAGCCTCCTGCCACAGCAACTCCCCGATTTCGGTAGACTGAGGCAGCCCACACAGACCCAAAGGCTCTTTTAAGAGCCACTCCATACACAATAAAAAGAGCTGTTACCACTGCTTTGAAAGGAACATGCTTTAGAAATAACATTTTCTTATTCTAGATAGTGACATTTTATTTTATTGGCCCTGCTCCTTGATATTTTAAGATCCACCCCATAAAAAGTAAAAAAAAAAGTATTACAGCTGTTTAATGCTTTCATTTCCCACAGTAATAACAGCTGCTGAAAGACCACTTAGCACTGCAATGTACAATCACTATAACAAGATTTACATTAAAGCTTTAACAGCCCTTTTGGATGTGCATGTGGTGGCTCTTAAAAGAGCCTTTGTGGCTTTGGTGGTACCGGGGAAGGAGGCTTAAGCGCGCTCACCGCGAATGCGGCGGGCCAGCTGGATGTCCTTGGGCATGATGGTGACGCGCTTGGCGTGGATGGCGCAGAGGTTGGTGTCCTCGAACAGCCCCACCAGGTAGGCCTCGCTCGCCTCCTGCAGCGCCATCACGGCCGAGCTCTGGAAGCGCAGGTCGGTCTTGAAGTCCTGCGCGATCTCGCGCACCAGGCGCTGGAAGGGCAGCTTGCGGATCAGCAGCTCCGTCGACTTCTGGTAGCGCCGGATCTCGCGCAGCGCCACCGTGCCGGGCCGGTAGCGGTGCGGCTTCTTCACGCCGCCCGTGGCCGGCGCGCTCTTGCGGGCCGCCTTGGTGGCCAGCTGCTTGCGGGGCGCCTTCCCGCCGGTGGACTTACGCGCTGTCTGCTTCGTGCGCGCCATCACTAGCCAGTGACTAAACCGACAACTACCCAGAAAAGTACTGGCAGCGTACCCTGTACTCGAGGGGTATATATAGAGCCGTTCCCTTCTCTGATAGGCGGATTTACACAGGCTGACTGTCATTGGTGGATTCAAAGTTTAAAAATTCCCGCCACTGGTAGGTACCGTCTATCCTTTTGCGCCTTTGTTGTTTCTGTATACCGTCTAAAGAAGCCATTATTTTATCACGGTGCATTTTTTTCTGTTCCCAGGAACCTTTGTTTCGTTATCGATTTTATTTTTTTTAGACAATGTGTGAGTTATTAGTTATTTCTTTTTAAAATCTTTTTCTTTAACTGTGGAATTTTCCTCTTTCTGTATAGATATTTCCATACAGAGTCAACATTGATAAAATTTCTCTGCAAGACACAGGAATTTCTATTTACATAAGTTAAGATACTATAAAAGCATACAGAATGAAAGAAAAAGTGAAAAAATAGCATATTAAAAGAATGATTGTTAAGAACAATGAAAACCAGGATATTAGAAAAATCAGTTCAATAAGTTCAATTAAAGAACAAAAATAATTCATTCCTTTAAGTCCTTATTAATACTGAACACATCCAGGGAATTAATAAAATGAGGACTAGAGGATGACTGCAGGAATCAAAGGTTTAAACTGAAGTTTTAGACATAATCATGCAGTGAGCATAGGTCGAGTAGAACTCCATTACCCCACTCTCAATTTGGAATGAAGAGGACTGAAGGGAGAGAGCTGTGGTGGTTTTTCGGTTCAAAGAAGCGTGCAGTTTTGGAAAGGTGGAAATGTCTAGAGTGACCCGGTGTTGGAAAGCGGCAAAATCTTCCCGCGGCGAAAAGATGTAATGGGGGAAAGGTGTACATACTTTCCCGGCTCCCGGTAACTCCTCCTTTACTCCTGCTCACTGACATAGCCATACACTTTCTCACTTCCTCTTTACCTTTTCCGTTGTCCGCTCCAAATCCGCGCTTTTCCGACTGTAAAAATTTAAAACAATTAAAAAAAAAAGGGGGGGGGGCGAGGGGAGTAGAAAATTCAAGGGAAACGGAGCCAGTGAGGCGCCACGCTGCGGCGGCTGGTACGAACAATCCATCGCTGCAGAAGCCCGCCTCTCCTGCCTTCTCATTGGTTGTCCAGAGAGCGCGGGTTACGGCCTTTCAGAGCTGAGGCCTTTGCTATCGAACAGTGAGAGATTCACTCCGTCATTGGGTGCGCGTTCCCGGATAGGCACTTCGGCCTATCAGAAGCTGCCGACTGAGGACAGAGGGAAGGTATATAAGGGCTGACTTCAGAGTACTGGGAGTTCAGCTCTTCTGTTTTGTAACAGTAGCAGCTCAGCGCCGAACGAGAACGCTGCAATGTCCGGCCGCGGGAAGCAGGGCGGGAAGGCGCGGGCCAAGGCCAAGTCGCGCTCGTCGCGGGCCGGGCTGCAGTTCCCCGTGGGCCGCGTGCACCGGCTGCTCCCCAACGGCCACTCCGGCGAGGGGGGCGCCCCGGTGTACCTGGCGGCCGTGCTGGAGTACCTGACGGCCGAGATCCTGGAGCTGGCGGGCAACGCGGCCCGCGACAACAAGAAGACGCGCATCATCCCCCGCCACCTGCAGCTGGCCATCCGCAACGACGAGGAGCTCAACAAGCTGCTGGGCAAGGTGACTATCGCGCAGGGCGGTGTGCTGCCCAACATCCAGGCCGTGCTGCTGCCCAAGAAGACTGAGAGTCACAAAGCCAAGAGCAAGTAAACGGGGCCTGAAGAATCATCCCGAGCACAAAAAAGAAAACTACTCAAAAACCCAAAGGCTCTTTTCAGAGCCACCTACAGTCTCGAAAAGGAGCTGCGATGCTGCTGAGTGACAAGTAACCGTGCGCGAACATCTCTGTGGGAGGAAGGGATATTTGCTTTGTAGCTGCTCTGGCCCACTTACGCTGTAGAGCTCTGGCGCGCTCAGAAGGTTTTAGTTTTCCTTGCAGAACTTGCAACGCTACCCCAAGCAGTGGGCGGGAGGGGCATTGGGCTAATCTTTCGGGCGGGAGGTGCGCCGATGGGGGGTGGTGATGCTGTGCTGGGCAAGCGAGAGGAGCGCGGGCTCTGCCGGGAGCGGAATCTTGCAGAGCCAATCGCCGCCCGCGCGGGCTTTTCAAAAATGGGAAGGTGTTTTAACCCGCTCCCTGCTGAAACGGGGACAGGCCGCCTTCCTCACCCCCCTCACCCCACCAGGTGAAGTGAACTGTGTGCAATCACTGCAGTTTTCCCCCTGTGGACGTGAGCAGGTAGGAGGAAACGATAGCTCCGACACCCTGCAAGAGAGAACTGGAAGAGACAGCCATGTTTTTCCTTTTTCGTTCTTTTGTTGGGCTCAGAGACTCCTCCCTTGTCCTCTTTTTTCCTAACAATGTCTGTGATGAAAGCGCCAGCCTTCCCCGGTAGTTTCCAGGACTGCTTGGCATTTGTGTTTGCCTCGGGAAAAGTCAGAAACTGGACCCACACAAGCTCTTCTGAAAGCGGCTGCTGGTATAAGAGAGCAAGAGCTAGGAAGAGGAACGATGCCGCTGCAGGACACCAGAGGGACCCAGAGCCGAACTACAAGGCTACCCAGTAGTGTCAGCTGGACTTAAAAAAAGGGCGGGCGGGAGGCGCGGCTTGGGAGAAACGAGTGTTAAAGCTAAAACCAACATTACGGCAAGGAGTTACAAAAACGAGCAGCGTGAAACAGCTCTTTAAAAGGAAAACATGGGTGGCTCTTAAAAGAGCCTTTGGGTTCTCGAGAATGGCACAGGAGCGAAAGTCTTTAGCCGCCGAAGCCGTAGAGGGGGCGACCCTGGCGCTTGAGGGCGTAGACCACGTCCATGGCAGTCACCGTCTTCCTCTTGGCGTGCTCGGTGTAGGTGACGGCGTCACGGATCACGTTCTCCAGGAACACCTTCAGCACGCCGCGCGTCTCCTCGTAGATCAGCCCCGAGATGCGCTTCACGCCGCCGGCGGCGGATAGCCGGCTTGGTGATGCCCTGGATGTTGTCGCGCAGCACCTTGCGGTGGCGCTTGGCGCCTCCCTTGCCAAGTCCCTTCCCACCTTTGCCTCTGCCAGACATATTGCCACTTATTATCTCCTACGACCTACTAACTCCGCGCGGCGGCTTTTATGTGGTGGGAGCCGACCTGATTGGGAGGAGGGGCGGGCACGGCCGGCCGGGGCGGGGCCTGGGTCTCTGCTTCCTTCACGGGCGCGGTGAGGCGGGGCCTTCACCCTCTGCCGCTCTCCGGGACCCGAGCAGTTTCGCGGCGCCAATCCCCGCCTCCGTTTCTGCCTCCTGCTTAGCCCCGGTGACCCTGGAGCGCCGTTTCCGGGCATCTTTCTCTCCGGTCAGAGCCGCAGCGCTCAGACCTTCCTTCTCTGAGGGGCCAAGCGCTCCACTGCGCAGGGAGCCAGCAGCCTTGAGGTGTCTGCAGACAGTGCTTAAGGTCATGCTGACCATGTCTCATTAGTTCTGAGGTCACACTGCAAAGACTCTCTGACTGTAGCATCACTGGTGAGTCCACAAAGGGCTTTTTCAGCATAGAACTGGAGAAGACCCTTTATTTTCTATCATGTGTCTGGAGTGTTGCTTCTTATTAAGTCTCAGACATCCACATTCAAAAAGCATTTCCATTTAGATCACTGCTTACTAACTGGATGAAAATTAGTCAGGCATGTCAAATGCACAACAGAAATGGCTATGTCAGCTCTGTGTGTGTGTACCTCCATGTTTTCAATGGCCTGACATCATTCTGAGTGGATAGATACACTTTTATGTAGTATGTTTTTCTTTCACCAGTGTGCATTACTGGTGACAACATTTTTGTTATTTTGCTATGACTTGACGACTGAAAATCAGTCATTATGACTGTTAAATCCATACCTCATTTCTGCTGGCAATCCTTGCAGTCCTCCTTTTCATAACTCAGGGTCCACTGAGGCTAGGAGATTAGCATAATTCCAATATGGAGAATTTGCCTGTGCTCACCATGGCTGAATACACGTCATTATCCACACAGAGACAGAGGAGAGTCCTTCAAGACTAAGCACTCGGGGAGATCTTTGTGAACTCTGACAACCCTTTGTCTCAAGGATATTGGCATTTGGTTCTGCCTCAGTCACAGTGATTCCAGAAGGGAAAGTCTGTGTGAGTGATGGGATCTAAATATATAATGATGAAGTAATTCTTTCCCAGCATCTTTCAGCTCCAATATTTCATACAGAAATGTTTCTGCCTGGCCTTGAATACTCTGAATTTATTTCTTTTTTCTGTTCTTCCAAATGACTTGCCATTCCCTCTTGCCATTCAAATATATTCTCTTCACCTCTCTTCAGTTACAGGAAAGGGGGTTCAGTTCACTGTCTTTGTTGGTTGCTACTTTGTCCCACTTCATCTACACTACAGAAAGCATATTTTCTAGCACCATTTTGTAACACATGCACACACTGAGGACACTTAACTGTATATAAATGAGGTTCTCCCCTATGAAAGGGATACACATGTAGTGTACATGTCCATCACTTTTTTTTCCACTCACACTGTACGTATTCCTCAGCCTGCTATAATTTGCCATGCTAAAGCCTCATCCTGAAACAAGAAAAATGAGAGATGTTATGATCAGGAAAAGCAATCAATAAATACACAGGAGAAAAATCCATTCAAGGCTCTCCAAACACATCCCCTCTGACTCAGTGAGTCCCTGGCTGACAAATCACTAGGACCTAAGGGATCATTTTGATGAGATACCAGTTATTGTTCACTCACTCCTTTTCTACTGGCCTCTGTCACAGATGGAATATTGGCCCAGGTGGAATTTTCCTGTGAATTACTTGGGTATTGCTGTGTTATGATGACAAGTCTCTGTCTAGAATGCAATTCAAAAGGCAGCACAATCTCAAGGCTGTCCCACTCATATTGCCCATTCATTTCTCCCCACTCTGGATCTATGCTGGTATTCCTAACTGCAGAAGCAAGTTCTACTACTAAAATCTGTATTCTTCCTCTGTCCTCTTGCAGACTTAAGGCTTGTGTGTCCCTGATACAAGCCCAATAGAGCTACTGTCTCCTTCAACACCAAAGAGAACATAACCAGGTAACCCTGCTATCCTAGAGAGAAGGTGACCAAAAACCAAAATAATGCAGAGCTAAGACTATTCACCATGTTAGCAGAATAAGCATATGTAGTAAAATGAAAAAGAAAAAAACAAAACAAAACAAACCTAAACCCAAAAAATTTTCAAGTATAAGAACCTTTTACTTTCATTAGTGTAAAATGCAAACAAACATTCCTGTCCTCATCCATTCATGTGACTGAAAGCAGTAACCCTTGAAAGCCTTTCCATGTACTCAAGTATGTCAAGGCCTGTTTTCTTCTAAAGAATTAATAAAACAAGGACAGATTACACCTTGGCATCCACTTAGGTTTTGGTTATTTTTTTCTTATTTTTTTAAATTACTTTTCTCTTTTTCAGTTTTTCTCCCAGGGAAGATGTTTATACAAATGAATATGCATTAGATCTGGACAGTTAATATCACATTTACTCAAATGTTTACCTTATTGATCAGCAGACCCTTTTCTCAATAGCTGTGGGTAATCTGGTCTGATAAGCTTCCTTTCTTGCAGGTGTCTACTATTGCAGTTTGGGTAAACCCAAAACCTCATCTGGTTTATCTTTAATTACAACCTCTATGCAGCTGGACACAGGATGGTCCCTGCTCCTAGCTGCTTAGTGCTGGCCTTGTATGCTAGTCTTGTTAGCCATATAATTAAATACATGATGTTACAAAGTACTAAACTAAAACAGCACACAAAAGTTAAACTTATTATTTTGCCCCTTATTTTATGCACAAATCAATCAAAACTTGATTGTGTTTTCAGTATCCAAAAGAGAAAAAAACCCTCTATATTAGGAAGACCAAGATTTAGACTTAATGTGCTTATTATGGAAGCCAATTCTTCTTTCTGGGACCAGATCATACAAGTCAAGCTGCAGGCAAAAGAGATGAAATATATTCTCCTTGAATGTACCTACACTATATGCACATATACTCATGAGCCTGTGAAGCCAGATTCCTGACTTCCTAACTGCCTGATGGCAGGAGTGCTGAGTGATTGGCCTCATTTGTATATTGTGGAGAAATCCGGGCACCAGCCAGCTCTTCCAGTGCCCCTGGCAGTCTGGATGACATCCTAACAGGGGACAGTGCCACTCTGGCACCAGCCCATGGACTGCACAACTGCAAAGCATGTAATGTAAAAAACAAGCTGTGCCACAGGACCGTTACACACAAAGCAACTCTTTAAAACCTTTTTGCTCTCTCCTATAGGAAGGGAGCCAGCCTATAGTGCCACCAGCTTGCAATACTCCTGCTCTAGAAAGATGGAACAAACAGCCTTATCTGAAGTGAATATCTGCTTCACCCCCACACCTCTGAGGAAAACTGGCAAGGCAGCATCACTTAATGACAGCACCTTCACATGGTGTGTGACACAGTGCTTTGGCTCTCATCGATGGCAGAAACCCAGCCTACACAGTGTCTGGGTGCCACCATACCTGCCAGTGTGGAAAAAAAAAAGGGTTGCTTGCCAACCCAAATGTACCTGGATGCCTGTCACATCAGTGCCTGGGGTGTCACCAACCACAGAGATGGCAGGTTGCAGTGCATGCACTATGTGCCCAAAGAGACTTTGTCCCTTCATAGGTACCAACAGGCTTTGGCTGGAGGGGAAATGAACACATAGATTGGTCACACTGCTCCCTCCCTCTTACCATCACTCACAGGGAGCACTGGCACACAAATAGGAATGGGTGGAGGGCAGAAAGCATGCAGAAGTGCCGCTAGGTTGTGGGGAGGAAGAGTGAGTTGCTTAGCATCACTCTGCATAAGCTGCTGGTCTGAGCAGCCAGGCTTCTGTGCTGATGGAGAGGCTGCTCTGAAAGGACACTGTGGAGGCACCCTTCCTTGGTGGAATTCACTGTTAAATGCAGATGAAAGAGAGGCACTGTCAGTTCAGGAGGAGATAATTTCTCTGAGGAGCCATGGCTAATGGAGCTTCTGTTCATGTTGCTTACCTCTCATGGACAGTATGTCTCAGGGCCTGAAGTCCTCAATTGCTGCTTGATGACTACATTCAAAGCATGCCAGGGTGGTCCAGAAGACAGTTAGCCAAGTGCCTTAGATTATTTTTAGAAGACTAATGTACTCTAAGACATAAATAATTCTGTTCTTTGTTATCTGACTATCAGTGAGGACGTTTTCTTCGTCTGAGTGTGAGAAAAGTAAAAATGTGTTAACCTGGTAAACTCTCGTACAGTAGAGAAATAAACCTACATCTTTTTACCTCATTAGCTGTTCTGAGAAGAGTTTTGCACCCCTGCATTTTCGCTGGGTTTTTCCACTCTCCCAGGAAGGACGTCCTTGCCAGCGCCTCCTAACTATGGACATACCCAGGTTTTAGACTATAGGTTTTCAACTCCCAAATGACATGCCATGACAATGATGAAGGGAGGCCACAATAGGTGCCGAAACCCTTAACCAGGAGTACAGGGAGGAGTGTGCAACATTCCAAGAAGCTGAGTCTACAGGGACAGTCATCCAATGCCCTACCCTATTTGTCCTACCCAGGATAGATGGACTTAAAGGGCCTTATGTGGCCTTAGTACATTTAGGAGTCTTAACGACAGCAGCAGCAACATTAGTATTATATAGGTAGAGACTTGTTTGCTGAGCTGCAATAAGTCTGTAGTTTTGGTAGGTACCACCTTAAAATTGCTTAGCTAGAGGTTAAAAGCTGTTCAACTGTGCTGGCTGGTTTGATCACACAAGTTACTACATTTGTAACTCTGATGAAGGATGAAGTCACTGAGAGCAAGTAAGGCATGGGTGTAGCACTGTAATAGGAGTATAATCACGGTTGCAGAGTATTTACACTTCTTTCCTGTGGAACATGTATACGGGGGTGCAGCACATAGCATACAGACCCTTACCTAAATCTCTCTGGAAATCATCACTTGAAGGAAGGAGAGGGGCTGGAGCGCACAGGCATTTCAGCTGCACTTCCTCCAGCTGTCTAAGAATGACTGACCATGGGACTCACCTACAGCAGGTAGAGTAGGCCATGAGCCACATTTGTGTGGCTAGCTTTCATACTAATGCCTCCTAACAAAATTGCTTGAGAACAACCACCACTGTGCTACCTCTCTTCATTTCAAACATACCTAAATATAACCCAGAGCTCATTTTCTTAGGAACAAGTACTAGCAGATCCTAAACTGGAGATGGGAATGTCTGATAGCTCTCAGGTGCAGTGCAAGCCCTTGGCTGTGGTTCATGTGTCTCCTTGCTTATGCCAAGAGGTCTTAATAGATAACTGCAAAAGATGGACAGACCTCAGTATGTGAAGGGAAGTGACGTGCAGACTTCAGATTGCAATCTTCTGCAGGTTTGTGCTGTAATGAAGCCTGCTGTGGTGCCCGTGAGGTAAGAAGGGTTGAAGACATTTGGATGTAGTAGACATTACAGTGATGTCCTCTCCAAAAGTATCCCAGGAGATCCTGATATCATTCTCCCCCTCTTTTAATAATCCATGAAGTCTACGTCCCTCCAGTCTCACTGGGAAAGCCAAACTGCATGTCAGAGTCTATGTGGCACCTTCATGAAGTTTTTCTACCTCATCCTATACCTAAAACAGGATTATTTTCTTTTCTCATTAGCTTAGCTTGAGGTGAAACTGCCATTCCTGCCTTTTATGTAATCCTTCACCACATTTTTTTCTTTGTCTGAGTACATCTATCCATTCCTTCTAAACTATCTGCTCTGACTGAAGAGCATACTCCTTTTAAAATTGCCAAATGCATCTTAAATTTCCAAAATGTTGTTCCTGCAAGTATTTCTTTAATGTAGAAAAGAATGTGTGTTCCGTTCAGCAATTCTACATTGCTGAAGTTATTTTACTTCTTTGCTGCAGGCCCATTAAAAAAGAAAGATCAGAGCTTCTCTCCATGTCACAAAATTTCTGAAGTTACTTCAGGTTATTTTAAGATAGTAGACTGTAACTGTTGGAGATCAGAAACTGCTACACATATTATTAGCTGTCCCTGTTCGGAATGGGGAGAGAGTAGCAACTGCTGGGAGAAAAGCCAGGCAGACAACTGGGATGGTGACCATTTTAGCTACCTCAATTTCAGCCACCAATAAACATGAATCAACACTCTGCAAAGCCACAACTGAAGGCTGGAGTGTTGAAATCTCCTCCAGTGAAGGTTACTGAAGCAAATGTGTACAAGCTCAAAATACTAAGAATATGCAACATGAGTTTTCATTTTGCTGACATGTTAATCATGGTCTACACCTTTCCACTATGTGCTAAGAAGTGTCTTGGTAGCTGCTAAAGCTCATCTCCCAGCATTGCTGCTTTATTTCACTATGCAGTCAAATCAATGGAAAGTCTCTTTCATTGATTTACAAACACATATGGGATATAGGCTTAAAATACATATATTTATTTTACTTCAGTTTTTGGTAATTTGTGAAGGTATATCTTAAATAGCCACATCCACTCCAATTTAGTTTGCTCCTGTATCCTTCTTTTAGTTAAATACCTTTGACAAACAAGACCTTGAAAATCCCAATTTGATCAGCCCTTCTCCCAGTTATCTTCCTGTTGAAGCATTACAGAGCTCAGGTGCACTTTTCCTGCAACCTTTTTTCTGATGTGTTTTTTTTTGCATGCTGCAGTTTTCCCCTTCACTGCATTTATTCATAGTTTCATATTCACTGAAACCAAATTTTACAGCAAACTAAAATGTTTTCACTATACACATTTTTACTGTTACTTTTGTTATTTACAAAACAGGCATAGCAAATGAAAGAATTAGGTGGAAATTAGATTACATTTACCTAAAACTACCTATTCTCACAATCTGAAATTTTAGTTGCTAATATCTACTTAAATACTGTGTTTACATTATATGTTATATCTGGTTATACCAAAGGAAATTAGAGGGCAGGGCTGGTGTAGTCTTTGTGATTTTAAAATAACTACAAAGGGCAATGGATAATACACTTGTTTATAGTCAGGTACAGATTCATGAAATATTATTCCAGAGCTCTGTTTTGTTCAGCATATTACATCACCTTCCACTGAATATCAATATTGATTGAATTCTTCCTGGTTCTTTAGGAACAACCTATGGCCTACCTCTCCCCTCATTAGAACTCAGGTTATCACAAATTGCTCTAATTTTTGTCCTGAAAGCACTTCCTCATTTCAATAATGGCTGTAAAATGTATAAGGAAGAATTAGATGTGTTTTATGTGAAGTGGGAAGAGAATTCAGAATTTGCTCTAGATAAACCTTTGTGTAGACATCTTGTGTGAGATGTGTTAAAAAAACCAAAATGCAAACAGTAATATGGTTTTAAATTTTACTACTATTACAGAAAATACATAACAAGGTAATACTCTCTGGGAAGGAAGAGCATAACTACTAAACTACTATGCTAGCCTTTGTACATCTTGAATTACTAGAGAGACAAAGATAATTTCAGTAAATACCACCAGAAGTTTAAGAGGTTGTTTTCTTTCACAGAACTGCAGTTTTGTAACATCAGATATCAAATGACTGTTTAATTGAAATTGAAATGCAACATGAAAAGCAAATAGCTTGATCTACTTAATAATTGGTACAGAAATTTATATGGAAAACAAACAAAAGAAAGAAAACAACCAACACAAGGTAGCAGGGCAAGTTTGCTTCCCTTACACTGAAATTGCAAGAAGACAAAATAAAACAACTGTATGTTCAAAAATCTCCAGATATTAACAAATTGCTTATAGGTCCATAATAAATGCAATAGGAGGTCGTAAGAGACACTATTTCACTAGACATTAGCGTTTTAAGAGGTAAAACACATGGTCAAAGGAACCGGTTCTTAATCCATATTCAGAGCTGAAAGAGGAGTTTGTGTTACTTCCTCCTCTTCAAAATCAATTTAAGCTGTCAAAATAACTTTAAATTGGCAGGTTTCGACTTTGACTCCAAGAAAACCCTCTAAAGAATCAGACCGAGTCATTGCTGTAACATTTATGTCAAAAGGAAATTTTTAATTTGCAAGGAAAAACAAAAGTTTCTCTCTTCAGAGGTCTCTCCAGCAGCAGCACACGGGATTTATCGCTTCTCCCTTAACTCAGCCCGCGTCTTTGCGGCTGGAAACTCTCCCGAACGCAAGTACCTGCTCTTCTCCTCCCTCACCGGAGAAATGGGGCGATTTGGTGGTAGAAATTCCGAGGAAAACACACTTTTGTTAGTCCAAAGAAACACAAATCGAGCACACCGAAGGGCTCCCCGGCCGTGCAGCGGGGCGGGCTCTGCAACGCACCAATCACCGCGCGGCTCCGCTCTAAAAATACGAGCATCTGACCCGCGCCAGCCCAATTGTGTTCGCCTGCTCCACAGAGGACTCTGCCGCCGCGATGTCCGAGACCGCTCCCGCCGCCGCCC